AATGGGGAAACCACGGTGGAAGAGTTAGACAATGTGAGAGATAAAGAATGAGTAGTTTTTAAAAACCAGAGGGAACCATATTAATTGAACAACATACTGACAAATTATATATACCACTAGCTCAAGGAATATAATACATGTCTAGCCAAGGTTTATCTGAGAACATTTGGTCTTTGCCGAAGCTTTATCTACATAGCCCATGGTAATTAAAAGTACCAGACTGGTGGAACTAACCTTCTTAAATGTCTAACAGCCATACTTTGAGGCCTATCCTAATTTGGTCAGAGCACAGTTTTTGCTCTTTGCCCTCCTAGGTCGACTAAGCTCCAGGGGACTATGAGCATCTCTCAAAATGTCCTGTAACTGTGGTGCGTTACCTGTCCTATTGATCAAGGAGGCCATGGAGACCCCACCAAATGGACTTGAACCAATGTCCAGTCTACAAAGAGGAGGGTCATCACAGAGGAAACATTTCCTTCATGCTTCCAAGTGAAGCCAGCCACGGTCAAGCAGGACCCTTGCCTTATCCTCACATAGATGGAACTGGTAAAAGAAAGGATCCAGGGGCTCCTCCCAAGCCCATGTTTCCCTGAGGAACAGATCCTTAAATGGCCTTGAGAGTAAAAATAAATTGGCTTACCTGGGCCAACTGGTTTATTTGGGTCTTGAACACCCAAAAGCAAAGTATAACCAAAGATTAAACTGATCTGTATATTCCTTTAAGAGTCCATGTATATAGCTAAAGGCTACATAGTAAGAAACAATGCCAGACAGGAGATACCTTCCTTTGAGTTGTTGGCCGGGGTGGCCCAAGAGACTCCCAGAAAGTAACCCAGCATAGAACTGGGAAAACGAACAGGAGACCCCAATCTTAAGTAAAGGAATATTGGCAACTGATTGCTGCTAGATGAGGAAGAGCTGATCTTCCTAAAACAAGGAACTCTAGATAGGCTGACTAGATTCAGCGGATGAACAAGCACTAGAGAACGGCTGGGGGTGCTGATAACACAGTGGATGTAGCAGGGATTACAGAGTATATGGGCTTCAGTGGTGGTGGGGGGACACTATGGGAGGGTGCCATTTGGGATATGGGTATATAGATGAATAAGATTGTTTGGGATATTCTGCATGAAATACACACCAAAACCAACAAATTTTTGAAAAGTGAGTTATGTTTGAGGAAGAAGTATAACAATTTGCTCCATGTTAATTAGTAGAGGTGAAACACATTACCATTGAAATCTACCTGATGGCTTTATATCCATGTTCAGGTGGATCTCAGCAAGTAATAGACTGTGACTGGTAATAATCAGATACACAGAGATTAGAGATACATATATAAACATCTAAGTGTTAGTAGCATTAAAAATGAGTTTTTCTGTATGAAACAGTATATTTTAAAATGAAGTGGAGATCTTCTTTAAAGGGTAAAAACTCAATTTTATGTCTTACAGGGTTTATACTGAGTTCAATATTGTATAACTGTATTAATTCAACTGTGAACCTAAAAATTTATAGCCACTTTTGAAAGAGATGTATCTTTGCTCTGGAAATTGTTACTGAATATGTTAAAGCTGTAATGAAATGCTTCTTCTAATCATGTGGTTACTAAATAAATAATTAAAAAAATTAAAAACCAAAAAAAGAGCTGTAAATTAGTATTAAAGAATTATTAACATCTCAATAGAAAACAAGGCAAAGTGGAATAATGGTCAGTTCATAAGCAACAGATAAATGATCATTTAGTACTTTCAGCCTAGAACCTTTAAAGAGCTCAAGGAATAAAGAAATATAAATTTTCATAAATCATCAATTTTAGAAAATGATGGTCATTGGAAATGGAAAGTATCTTAAATTTGCAGCACTGTTATTTAAACAAATTGGTAAACTCATGTATTATTTTATCCTGCTATTAAATCATATAGAAGAAATTTTAATGACTATGTTTTAGTAAAGTATGATCCCAGGTTTCTGTTAATAGTCTACCTAATGCACAAAACATACATGCAGAAAGTTACTTTAAAGGAAGCTTCTCTCTCTCTCTCTCTCTCTCTCTCTCTCTCTCTCTCTCTCTCATAGTCTGTAAGATAGTCGCTTAATAAGTTAAGTGCTGCTGATACTAAGAGGAATTAATCTTTATTTTACATAATGTATGTAGTAGATCAGTACTTTGTTCATCTTGGATCATTAACTAATAATGTCTTGATATTTTAAAGAGATGATGCTTTAATGGGTATAGAACGTTCAAAGTGATATTCTATTAATATTACCAAAGGTCTAAAGAATAGACATTTTAAAAAGTCAGTATGTTTAAAGGCCTTAAAAGTACATGTAGGAGGTGATTGATTGATAAGCACAGTGAACAAAAGTCGTGTCTCTCTGATACTAGTAGTGACTGAATATGTATCTGGTTCTGTGCAGAAGTATTATTTAATCCTCACAAGGGTCCATTGGTAAACTAGAGTGTTGATTTTGTAAATGAGAGAGCTGAGATTTAGAGAGTTTAAGTATTTATATTTGAATTGGGGCGAGCCTCTACCTGAAGCCAGATTTATCTGAGATAAATGTTTATGATTACTATGGCCTTTCTTTTCCTTAATAAATTTCCATGTAGGTCTACCAAACTTGAAGCAGTATATGAATTTATGTTATAACTTAGGTCATGTTACCTGTCTATGAAGTGTTATTATATAAAACAGCAAGCTGCATATTTCCTACAGATTCTGGTTAGCAGCATTTTAAGGAATATTTAGGGAGATTCCTTCTGTGGCTGACAGGAAGAACTTGATGAACTTTGACAGTCTATCTTTTCTGATTTTCTGGTAGTTTTTAAATTCTATTTGTGTATTTTATCCAAATTTTGATTATGTAAAGGACCATAAATGTATGAATTCTTAAAAGTGCTACAGAAAACTTTGAAAAATTGTTGTTTTGACTTATTTATATTTTGTTAGTTTACCAAATGATTTCATACATGCTATAAGAAGCCCAATACTCAGAGGCTTAAGAAGGAGAGAAAGAAAATTAAGGAGATGTGAGGGGAAAGAGGCCCCTCACTTTAGAATCTGGCTGGGAATCTAAAACTTTAACACAACTGGTTAAAGTAGGCTTGTCTTCCTAAAGACATCTCAAGCAAAGATGCAAAAATCAACAAACTGTACTTTAGTGCTAGAGTATTTGGACTTTACGATTAGTGTATCAGCCCTCCTCTCTCATCCCTAGATGTAAATAATATACCTCATAAAGCCAGCCTGGAAGAAGGATGCCAAAAAAGTAAGCGATGCTTACTTAGGGCCAGGAGGTTTGTGGCCTTGAGCTTAACTGTATTAGCATGCCTCTATCATTTACAATTCTAAACATCATGTCTCATAAAACCACCTAACAATTTCATTTGCAAATGAAAATTGTTTATAGATGAGTACCTTTGCTTGTGTTTTGTTTTTGTTTTGTTTGTTTGTTTTGGTCATTTTGAGGCAGGGTCTCCTTGTAGCCCCAGCTGTCCTGGAACTCACTATGTAGACCAGGCTGGCCTTGAACTCAGAGATCTCATCCGCCTGCCTCTGCCTCCCGAGTGCTGGGATTAAAGGCGTGTGCCACCATGCCCGGCAGCAGTTCATATTTTTACTTAACTTATAAACTTTTTAAACTTTGCTAAACCTTATTGTACGCTATGTCCTTTGAACAATGTCACTCAGAAAGCTACAGAATCATATATGGCAATAGTGAAGACACCTTGTACTCTCCCTTAATCGTTTTTATTTTTTTAATTTAAAAAATATTGTTTGAGCCAAGATCCCGTGTAATTTAGGCTGGCCTCCAACTTCCTATTTAGCTGAAAGTGACCTTGAACTTTTGATTCTTAGGCTTCTAATTCCTAGAGTGCTCAGCTCTAACAGGCAGCTTCAGGCATGCATATTGAGCATGCTTAAAAAAAATACGTAATTTTTTTTTTCCTCAAATACAGACCAAAGGAAAAAGTTGTCTGATCACCTTTGCATGCCTCCTGTCAACAGAATGAAAACTATGTGACCTAGCGTTTTCTTTTTGCACTTAAACTATATGAAAATTAGGAGAGGCATTTAATGAACTAATAGAATAATTATTTTACCTTCGGTGTTTGGTAACAAATGCTTCGTTTTTTTCCAGCCAGTTTGTTTTATGTTATTCCTACATCATTTTTGTTGTTGGAGACAAATGGATATTACTTTAAACGTCATCTTAGAATTGAGTAGATTATGAGGTTTTGAAGAAAAATTAGCTTAATTGTAAAGTATTGAGTTCTTAGCATAGACACTTCTGGTAACTACATGTTTGAGAGCAGTAGTTTAATAAAAGTAGGTATAATTCAGCCAGTTTTAATCCTAGATGTATACTCAACCTGAATCTTTGATTATTCTGATCCAGATAAACTAGAAAGGCTGACTTCACTGCCCAGGGATTGGTGTTTAGAGAAGGATGGGCACTGCCCTCAGGCTAATGCCTTTGAATTAGTAGATTAAGCTCCTCCCCAGTCTGAAGGCTGCTGAACCCTTCTTTGTGGTTTTGTGTTTTGTTATCCTTCCAGTGTTGAACTGTCAGTGTAACACATGTCCAGGTTCAAACAGATATGTCCAAATGCATGAGTGCTCTCTGACATTTGTTTGTGATGGACTGTGACTGGACCCTATATTTACAGTGGCTGTTTTATAACCCTGATGAATTAATGTGGTCAATGTGGGTACATGATTTTAAGAGTTTGCCTCTGAAAAGGAGGAGATTGAAGAAGCTATATTTTCCAAGGCTAAAAAAAAAATGACAGATATTCAACTAATAAAATATTGAAGTTTTGTGGGATTGTGTTATAGCCCACTAAATAATATGGTTGGTTTTGTGGCCAAAAATATGTATCTGTCTTTAAATCAAAGAATACCTACACCCTGTTGTGCAGTTGACTGATACTCATATTTTATGCAAAATGTCCTTATGAATGCTTGACTTACATAGAACTTCCTCCTTTGTAGTCTGTTCGGCACTTGAAGTACTCCTTGTTTAAGAAGTCTCTCCTGGGCAGTGTTTCAGATAATGGAGTCGTGACTCTCTGGGATGTCAACAGTCAGAGTTCGTACCATAACTTTGACACTACGCACAAAGCTCCGGCTTCAGGCATCTGTTTCTCTCCTGTCAATGAGTTGCTTTTTGTAACCATTGGCCTGGATAAAAGAATCATCCTCTATGACACGTCAAGTAAGAAGTAAGTATGGCTTTACCGCCTTCTCTTTTCAAGACAGGGTCTCACGTAGCTCAGACTGGCATTAAACTTACTATGTAGTTGAAGATGACCTTGAACTTCTGATCCTCCTGCCTGCAGTTCCTAAGTGCTGGCATTACAGGTGTGTGCCTCCATACTCAGTTTATGTGACACTGAGGAATGAAGCCAGGCTCTTTTTGAAATAGTTTGCTGAGATCCTCTAAGGGTCAGCAAGCGATTTATTTCTCTTGTACCAGATAAAGCAGCAAAGAGCTCAGCTTCAGCAGATCAGTAGCCATTGGCTGGCCAAAGATCAAGCTACATGAACTCTACCCCTTTAGCTTTTTGGTTAAGAGATATACAACTAAAAGCAAAGTAGCAGCTGCTCCCGTGTGGAAGGTCCTAGTCCTCCAGAGACAGGAGCAGGCGGCTAAGTGGAAACTGGATATGGAGAGCCCACCCAACCCAGAGTCTAGCACCTGTGTGTGGAGAGTACCTGACCTATGTCATATTCACTGCCAGAGTGTATTGGTGGTCTGTTAGGAATGTAGAACAAACCTGTGTGAGGTGAATAGGATAATAGGATGGAAAGTTCAGTTCTTTACAGTCATTTTATTAGAAGTGCCTCTGAAATATACTCTATACTGCTTTAAAGTAACTTTTCTGGTAAACAGTTGTGTGTTGTATACACTTAGACTTCTGTATATACTGACATATCTGCATGTTCTTCCAAAGGCTAGTGAAAACTTTAGTGGCTGACACTCCTCTGACTGCAGTAGATTTCATGCCTGATGGAGCCACTTTGACTATTGGATCATCCCGTGGGAAAATATATCAATATGACTTAAGGATGTTGAAATCACCCGTGAAAACCATCAGTGCTCACAAGACATCTGTGCAGTGTATAGCGTTTCAGTACTCTACTTCTCTGACCAAAGTGAGATAATGTCTTTTTAAAATTTTTGATTTTACTAAAAATACCTAGCTCAGAAACAAAAATTGTTTTGTCAACTAAAAACAGCATAATATTGCTTCACAATTGTTTTAATGATAACATTGTAAATAATTTTAATATAGAGTCATTTGATACTTAGGCTTAAAATTCAATTCTTATGTAAACCTTCATAAGAATTATTTTAAAAAAGCATTTTTTGGTTTAGAGAAAAGCTCAGATTTCCAGAAAGCTTAGGATTTATAAGAGGGAAAATTAAGTTTCTAATCTAATGGGCAGTTATAAAATATTAATGTATAGTATGAAACATTAGTAATTTGAGCTTTTAAATATTCCATTATATTCAGTCAAGTTTAAATAAAGGCTGTTCAAATAAGGCCACAGCAGTGAACAAACGAGCCGTCGGCCTGAGCAGCACCAGCAGAGCAGGTCAGAATTCTGGACCTGTCAGAGAGACACCGGCCCCTTCCGTTGCCACAGTTCTTCCACAGCCCATGACAACAGCTGTGGGGAAAGGAACCGCTGTGGCTCAGGACAAAACAGGTAGGGATTGCTTCTGTATTCAGAGCGTTTGTTCCTTCCCCAAATATATGTTTAGCACTTTCTTCAAGAACCTAGATCTCAAGTTCATTTGAGCATTTAGGCAAAACTGTTATTAGTAGATATCTCTGAATAAATGAAAAATTTTAACTTTTTCTTTGTTTGTAAAGAGTTCATGAGAGAGACTTTAACAGAATTTCTGTTGTGAGACAGTGGTTGTTTTAGAAGTGGAGTGATTCTGACTCAGAAGTCATTCATCTTTATAATATCTCAGACCACTGAATTGTGTCATCAGGGGAGTGGGAGACATCAGTGCTGTCAACTTTGGTTTGACCTCGTAGTTAAAAAATAAAAGGTTAAAGACGAGGTGGAAAGCTAGTAATGGCCTTTAATTTTCATATTTCAAAAGGAAAAATAAACCAAGTGATAGAATATGTTTTTAAATGCCGAACAGTGTTTTGTACGTATTAACCTGTATTAGTAGTTTGTTAAATGAAAATGTTACATTATTTCAGTGTCTTCTGAGAATCATATTGATGAAACTTCTGAAATAGGAATTCATTTAGATTATATGAAGGAGTGATGGAGCAATAGACTTCACTGTACTAACTGTAGGAACCATTCTTTGCTCATAATACAGTTATGTTCTTTGAATCGTGAAAGTGCTTGTATTTCATTTTGAGAAGTTACGCTGCACTGTCATCTTATAATGGATCTTCTGAAAAGTCTGAATGGTGCACCAGTGTGCTTCTGCATTCTGCTCAATAGCGAGATGTGTACCTTGTCTTTAATCTTTAGGACAAATACTTCTGCCAAAACAATTGTTGGTATCTTCTCAGTATTAATTCACTACTTCTAGTAGAAGCAAAACTTTTATCTGTTGACCTTGATAGTGTGGAATAATTTTAAAACAACTATTTTTATTTATTTGTTCATTTTTATTTTATCTCTGAATATTTTACCGACATGTATGCGTGTCATGTGCATGCAGTGCCTGTAGGGGTCAAAAGAGGGCAGTGGATCCCCTGGATCTGGAACTAAGGACAGTGTTAGTCATCATGTGGGTGCTGAGAACTGAACCCAGACCCTCTGCAAGAACAGCCAGTGCTCTTAATCACTGAGCCATCTCTCTAGATCCCCAAATAGCTATTTTTATTATCAGTTTCCTGTGAAGATCTATATCATCCCAATAAAATAGTCTCAACATAAGGAAGGATAACTTGGTCCTTGTTTAAGAACTCTTGCAGATAAATACCAGGAATGCTTACCTTTTAGAAATTCTTTTTGAACTATAACTTTGGGTAAAGGCTCCCAAGATGTTGAATTAGCTATATCGTAAATATTTCCCATGGCTTTCCAAAGTGATTGTCCAGTTCTTTATTCATATTCCTAATTTAAATTTTAAATCATGATTCATTTACTGGAAACTTCAGTCTCTGGTATTAGTTTTTAATAAGTAGTCTCCTGTTTAAGGGTGACCATGTTAATTAGCAAATGAAAGACTTAGGTCTGCTAGGTTACTGATTAATGACAGTTATTGACAGATCTCAGAATTTCTGGCAAAATGAATATTTGCTCTGCCTCTCAAGCAGATTTCTGTTTATTTTGACATAATTGTCAACATACAGAAAAGTTTTACGAGTAGTGTAAGTTCTCTTGTGCTTTGCCCCATGGTAAAGGCACCACAGTTACTTTGTTACTGTTTCTCTCACATATGTGCACACTCATTTTCCCTTGGAAGCCTTGAAATGAGCTGAATCTCAGGTCCGTCCTGTCTCATCAGGACAGCTGTAGACAATTTACTTAACCCTCTTGTCTCATTTTGGGTGTTTGTGTACATGTTTGTGTATGCAGGTGTGTGTTTTGTGCACGTGTGTGCAGGTGTGTGGGAGTGGTGACACATGTGCCTGTGTGAGTGGCCAATGGAGGCCTGAGGACAACTTTGGGTGTCATTCCCCAGATGCAGTCCCCTTTTTTTTGGAGACAGGGTTTCTCATTGGCTTGGAACTTGCCAGGCTGGCTGGGCAGCAGGCCCCGGCCATCTGTGTCTGCTTCCTCAGTGCAGGATTCCAAGCGGCCTCCATTTTTATCCTGTGAGCCCCGCTGGTCTCAGCTTTTTCCTCCAGACACTGAGATACTCTGCAACATTTAAAGTTACTGTGAAAATCATAGAAAAGATGCCCCCAAGTGCCCCCGCACATGGCAGACACTCAGAAAACAGTGCTGTTGACCGTATCACAGTCAAGGTCATAACCGTGATGATTGTTACTTTATTTAAGGTTTGTCTCAATTTAACCTAAAGTTTAAAATTTTTCTTTTTTCTACTGAAGGTATCCAACTTTAGTTACTGAGAAGAACCTCTATGGACTTGTTGCTGGCACTCATTTTTAGTAGGAAATAGCCATTCAAGAAGTGAAAAATAAGCCTTTCGCACTATTTTTATGTGATACCAATGTTCTATTTTGTGAGGTTTCAGAGGCTAGGGATGTACATTTCAATATGTTAAAGACCAGAAAAGAGGACAGGAAGTCCCTCTCCTCCTCCTTCCCTTCCCTTCCATCCCTCTCACTGTAGTCTTGAACTCGCTGTCCCCTTCCTTAGCTTCCCAGTGCTGGATTACAGATGTGTACCACTGTGCCAGGCTGAAATTTCTTTTATGTAATAATTTCAACTCTTGGAGTAAATGCTTTTCAGTGTTTTGATGTGTAAATGGTTTGCTTTCCTAACAGTCACTGTTTTTTTAAATGCACTTCATCAGCCAGGCCTGGATATTTGTGAACATCCAGTAGTATGTTCTTTGTTTTCATCTCAAGTTTTTCACTTTTCATTTGAGATTGTGATGCTAATAAAACTCTTTAAAATGTAGTGCAGCACCCATTCTACCAATCAAGAAACTAGGTGCATCCTGATTCTTGACTCTCAATTCACTCCCTTAATCCAAAACCAGCTAGAAGCTACTTAGTGGACAGTTTCTCTTACAAAGCACTACCCTCAAGCCATGTGTTATATATACCACCAGGGAAAACCAGTTTCTGCAGCTTCTTTAATGCTATCTACAACTCTACTCTTGATGAGTCTGGTACTTTATTTTCCTAAGTACTGGTAACGAAGTCCTTTGAGTTTGGTAATGCTGAGAGTAATGCTAAGCTCCCACTATTAATGAAGAAGAAGACTTTAAAGGGGGTAAGAGCCCCGCTTCTCTGCGGGTTGCAGAGCTGGAGCCCTGTTGTGTGTTAGGCAACACATGTGTGCTTAATAGGATTTTAAAGATCATTTGTAGATGATCATAAGAGTAACAAAAGTAAATTGTATTCAGTATCCCCTTAAAGGGGGTAGCAAAGCAGTAATTAATTCAGGAACTTTCTGTCATCATGGCTCACAGTCATTTGTGTTTGAGAACGCTTCACTGGCATTTTCTCCTGCTTTTCTTGATGCTCAGTTTTAAAATTGCAACAACATGGGTAACATTCATTTTTTATAACCCCTAGCTTCTGATGGTTAAATCTACTTGAATGTATGCAGTAACACTGATTTTGTTTCTAATTCTTCTAAGGTTTGTCTCGAAACATAAATACAGATATTTTATCAAAGGAAACAGACAGTGGAAAAAATCAAGATTTATCCAGCTTGGATGATACTGGGAAAAGTAGTTTAGGCGACATGTTCTCACCTATCCGAGATGGTAAGTGTGCAGATCAGTGCGTGGCGGTTTTTTGTTTGTTAGATTGTCATTTTGGCTAGAAAATTTGGTTAACAGCCATCAGTATATGACAGTTTGTTCATTTTTCTCAATTCCTCAATGGGATCTTTTCCTTTACCCTCATATTTGAAATGTTAGAATGCCAAATTATATGCTGGTAAATTTTACATGTTAACTATGAAAATAGCTCCCAAGTTAGTATTTTAATTTCTACAGAATATTTTTATTACCTTTATAGCTCTGGGGATCCAACCTAGGGCACTCTGTATGCTAAACCAGTGCTCTTTCTACCTCTTAGCTATACCTCTAGGTTCCAGCAAGATTTCTTAAAGGAAGTTTTACCTTTATAAGTATGCTTTGACTTTTATCTGCTTCACTAAATTGCCCTAAAATCTCGGATGCTTTGGATTGCAAAAATTCTCTTTCCAATTAAAAAATAAAGCTTATTGATGTTTAGTTTGTATTAAATGCTTTCATGGCGAAGTGATAGATGCCTCATCTTTTACACTGTATATGATAGTACCATGTTCATCATGTCATCCCTATCACCACAATGTGATGCCATCATTAAAAAGAAACCTTTGCCACCTTGATAAATGGACACAATGTACATCCTTGTCCAGCTGTGCTTCTTAGTTCTGCCAATGTTTATATTCCCAGTGGGGTAGCTTCATCGAAACAGCACTATTGACGGTAATCGGGTAAATAAATACCTAGAGGGCCATATGACAGTTAAATTATTCATACTTGTTGGCCTGGTGATTCCATTTCTGCAAGTTTACCTTGAAAATATTCAGAGACTCTTGTAAAGATTTGTGTTTACTCTCTTATAATATTGAAAAACTAGAGAGAATCTGAGTGTCAGCAGTAAAGGATTTAAAACTATTGTGTCTATACTTGATTTTACACAGTTTCAGTCTTTATTCCAAAATTGTCTTTCCCAGGTTTTCTGCATTTCATTTCATAGTAAAAGAAATAAAAATGTACATGATTGTACAGAATTATTGTCTTCTTCCATACTGTGGCTGAAAATAAGTCCTCTTTCTTACACTGGGTAGAAGAGAAAGGATTCTGTTTTTTAGGGTTAAGAGAAGTTGAGTTACACAGTTAGAAAGTAAAGAGAAGAGTGGTAGGTGGAGATGGAAAGGTGGCAGGACTGGAGTTGAGAAAGGTTGTTGGGGTCTATATGCGCACCCAAGATACACACACACACACACACACACACACACACACACACACACACACACACAGCTTTTCCTTTAGTTACTGCTGCTATTCTTTCAAATGTGATTAGAATTTGAGGCATGTGCCCTCCAGTCTGAGTGTTCATCTTGTTAGTAAGGAAATGTGGGCACTAAAAGTAATGCTCATGGGGCTGTAGAGATGGCTCAGCGGTGAAGGTGGCTGCTCTTTCAGAGGACCTGGGTTTGATTTCCAGCACCCACATGGCAACTAACAGCTGTAAGTTCAGTTCCAGGGGATCTGACGCCCTCTTTTGGGCATTGCATGACACGGGTGCACCTACATACAAGCAGGCAATAATACACTCATACACATAAAATAAAAATAATAAATATTTAAACTTAATATGATGCTCATTTTCATTGTCAAGGAATTTGTCTTAATCTCAAGGATTCAGTTCTCTAAGGGAAAGTCTTCATCTCCATGCCTCAATTTCTTCATCTTTTAAATAAAAATACTTCTTTTATTGAGAGGAAACCAGTAGCTTCAAAAAGTCTTTGTGGCTGCTGTGCAGTTACTAGGTGTATACACTTGTAGATAAGATTTCTAAAAGATAATCACATGTTTATTGGCCATTTGAACTTCTAGTGATTTGTTAATGACTTGCCATTGTTCTGTTAATATGTGAAAAATTGGTAAAATTGGTTAATTGTTACAAATTGGTAAAGGTGTGGTGGTACACACCTTTAACCCAGCACAAACTGGTAAGTCTTGTACTTATTCTGTAACTGAAGTAGATATTAACAAAGCCATATTTTTGCAACATCATGCTCCTTGCAAAGTATTTTTATTTCAGTTAATTCCACAAACAATTTTGCAGATTAATCACAGCACTGTCTGCACTGTAAAGATGCAGGCATTGGCACCCAACACATTAGAGCCTGCTCAAAGTCAGAAGCCTACTAAATAGAACAGGCAGAACTGACTTATCTCTCTAGGGCCTATTTCAGGCTTTGTTCTGTGCATTCCCTCTGATATGGCTGTACCATGGAATGATCCTCTCCCATCTGCTCTTCTGCATGAAGCTAAATGAATGAAAAGCACAATTTGTGCAGGTTGCAGTGCTTAATGTCACTCATACTTAAGATTGTTAGTCTCTGAACTCTTAGGGGGTTGAGTAGGAAGCTTACGTTGCTATAGCTTATTTTTCACAATTTTAATTTGATTTTCTTATTTTCTTGCAGATGCTGTTGTTAACAAGGGAGGTGATGAATCTGTAGGCAAAGGAGATGGTAAGAAGTACTATAAAACATTTTCAGGAAAATGAAAAGTGATACTATGTCATTGCTGCTGTTTGACAAGTTGCTCTGACTTTGGGGCCTTAAAGGGCAGATACTTGGCATCTGATTGTTTCTGTGGGTTCAGCATCACTTCATTAGATGCCTTTGGCTTCGGATCTTTTCTTTCTTCATACTTCAATTGGGGAATCAGCTAGAGCTGCATTCAACTCAAGGCTCAACTGGGCAAGGATCAGCATCCAGGCTCATTCATGTGGCTTTTGGCTGGATTTACCGGGTCCTTGCCTGTTATGCTGTCCTCAGGGAAGCTGCCAACAGAACAGCTGCTTCCTTCAGAGTGGACAGTTGGAGAGGACACCCAAGAGAGAAGCCATGCTGTTTGTATCCTGATCTTGGAAGTGACAACACACGTCTTTTGCCGTATCCCTTTTGTTAGGACCAAATTTCTAAGTCTGACTCATGTTCAAACGGAGGGGAATGCACGCAGCATGGAAGTCAGAAGGCAAGGGTCATTAGGAGTCATTTTAGAGGCTGCCACAGACATACCGAATTAGCACTCTTCAGTTACCAAGAACTAATGCTGACTAAAACATCCATTGTGCATTGTAATTTTCAAAGTATTGTCACAAGAAGAAAAAAAAAAAAGGCAGAGAGTTTTGCTGTGTAGCCCACACTGGCTGTGAATGCTTAATCTCCTGACTCCGCTTCGAATACACTGACATGCCTGGGCACATGTGTTGTTGAAGCCTCAGAGCCTCAAAGGATTTACCATCAATTCCACATCAATTTCAGGGAGTACCTGAGAAACAAATTGGTCCTCCAAATTCAAATTCCATTTCTTTTGCCATCTTTTTCAGTGAGTGTTTATACCAAGTGTCCAAGATTGGGAGGCATCAATGCAAACAAAATTTTTTCTTCCTTTTTCAGGCTTTGACTTCCTACCACAACTGAACTCGGTGTTTCCTCCAAGAAAAAACCCTGTCACTTCAGGCACTTTGGTCTTGCAGTCTAGTCCTCTCAGTGTCTTTATGGGGTCGCCAGGGAAAGAAGAAAATGAAAATCATGATCTGACAGCTGAGTCTAAGAAAACATACCCGGGGAAACAGGAGCCTAAGGATTCCTTGAAACAGGTATCTACCTGAAAATACTAGCTGAATTCAGTGTTTGTCATTCACCAGAAGGCAGCTGCCTTCTCTGACCTGACTGACCAGAACAGAAGGAGAATAGATAAAAAATTTGTGGGTAACAGGGTAAAACAAGAAATTACATAATAACTGTTTGCTTTAAATGTGAAGTTTGCAAAGTTGATCTGCTCTGGTGCTGAACCTGGAATTCTAAATCCTTCTCCATCATCTAACCAAACAAGAAATCTTGAGAAGTTTGAAAAGCCAGAGAAAGAAATTGAAGCCCAGTTGCCATATGAATCTCCAGTCAATGGATCGTCAACTCCAAGTGAGTACATAGAATGCCCTGTGTTTGAAAATGTGTAGTTGAAGAGTTCTCTGATTTTTAATTTGTAAAGGATAGAGTGATCAGAACAAGCACATTTCAAATAATGAGAGTTTATAGACAGGTCACTAGTTTTTTTGTGGGTTTTGTTCTTGGCTAGAAGGCACTGGAAATGAATAGTTTGACCCTGCAATATTGATTTGATTTTTTGGTGTAAATTAGCCCAATATTTAAGGTTTCAATTTATTTATTTTATTTTACTTCTTAAAAAATTTTGTTTTTATTGAATTTTTGTGCATTTCATACAGAACATGTCAGTCAGTCTTAATCATCTTTATACTCCTGTCCCCACTGGCACCCTCCCATAGCACCCTCCCACACTGGAATTCATACATTCTGTCATTTGTGTTATTGTTTCAAGTTACTGTCCCCAAACATTCCTCAGTGCAAGTTCATCTCTTGAGGTCTAGTCAGCTTATCTAGAGTCCCTCGCTTTAGGAAGATCAGCTCTTCCTTATCCAGCAGTAATCAGTTGCCAATATTTCTTCAGCTAGGGGCAGGGCCTGCTGTTCATTTCCACAGTTCTATGCTGGGTTTTTGTCTGCTCGAGTTTACGTGGGACTTTTGTATGGTGATACAATTGCTGTGGATTGATTTATATGAGCAGGGTCCCAGGAGCTTGTAAGACTCTTATTTCCATATGGTCATGTACCTCCTCCCTAGCTCTTACAATCTTTCTGCCGCCTCTTCTGAAATGGTCCCTGAGCCCTAGGTGGATAATGGTTAATAGAGGAATCCTGTCCAAGAACCCACATTCTGCAGACTCTTAATCTCTTTGCTTTGGCCATTTGTGAACTTTTGTGTTCCTGGCCCTCTGTTGCATGAGGGAGCTTCATTAATGAGAACTGAGAGATTCATTAGTTCTCTTACCTCCTTACCTCTGTTCTGTGTTCCATGTTCTATGTTCTCCTTACCATGTCCTATGTTCCTTAGGTGTAGAGGTTGCATTATAGATATGTGACTTAGGCCTGGGCAATTTATAGACCAACTGTGTGTGACCAGTTGTGATACTTGATAATAGTCTCTGGTGCAAAAGAAGCTTCTTTGATGAGTGGTGACTGGGATATTTGTCTGTAAATATAAAGATACATATTTTACACATAGTAAGAAATTACATTATTCTAGGGCTGTGACAGTCTTGGGGTTTTCTCTAAAATCTATGACCTCTCCAGCCATGTATATTTGGTTATGTTTCCAGTACCATACTTGAATTTCCTCCCATTGAGTGGGCTTTTAGTCCAATTAGGTAGCTGTCAATTGTCCCCAAGATAAAAGTGTCACTACTGCACCAGTGTCGTATGCTGTGCCGGCCATTGATGTGGTTATTTGGTCTTGAAACAGGTGTTGGACCATTGATTGATGTTTTCCCTTGGCACCTTCATAGTGCTCTCCAAAGCTATGAGAGCAAGCCTTAAGGCTTTGATTTAATATGATATAGATAGAATTGTAATGTAGGACTCTTTGAAATGGGGGTGATTAGCTACCTGAAATCTTTTTTTTAATTCACATTAAAGTCTTACCCTTAGAACTTATGCTATAGCTCATACAACTTAGTTGCAGTTAAAGGGGTACTAGGTTCACCTGTAAGAGCTGTCTGTGCAAAGGATCTGTTCACATGGATGTGGCTCTGCGTGGGCATCCATGTGCTCCTTGTAGCTTCTGCAGATACATTGCATTTAGCTGAAACTCTGGGGCTTTGCTCGTGACACTGCTTTCCTCCTGTCTTCTCTCTATTTGTGTCTATTAGTCGTGGTTTATGTGGTTTCTGGTGCAGTTTGTCACATTCATCTTTTATAAGAGGAAATGGTTCAGAGATTCTTCAAGATTAATCCCTCTGTCGTATGTTATTACATTAGACAGTTGGCAGTTTATATATACAGACAAATGACTGTTAGAAATAATGTCATAGAAAGTTTCTAAAATTTGTATTCCAGACAGTGAATTTTTCTAAATGTCACAGGAATACTGTTCTTTACCAGTTTTTCAGGTTTTCTCCCACCAAATCTTATTTAGAGATGTTTGATGTCTCTTAGTCCAAGTTGACTATTAATTTTCTCTTCATTCTTTATTTTAGATCCTAAGATAGTGCCCTCTGTCACTGCCGGAGTAGCCAATTCACTCTCAGATAAAATAGTCGATACCATTGGCAGCAGTCGGCCAAATGCACCCTTGACCTCTGTTCAGATCCGCTTCATTCAGAACATGATACAAGAAACACTGGAAGACTTCCGGTAGTAATGAAAAGTTACTCTTCATCTTGACATTAAATTTATTGTGCTTTTTTTAAATTGTTTAAAACCAGAACTCTAAGTAATGTTGGTAATTTCTCCTTCTGTCCATTAGGTTCTGTTGACCATAAACCATAGGAAACATGATGTGTTTTGTTGATCTCAGTGTACTTCAGAGGGAAAAGCACATGCACCTAGGGCAATGGCAAGATAGCCTAATGGGGAGTCTAGTGCCCAGGCTACTGCTGCAAATTTTCTTTTCTTTCTTTCGTTTTAAAAATACTTTATTTTTATTTTTCTATGTGTACAAGGGTATTGCCTGCGTGTATGTAAGTGTATCCATGTGTAATAGGTGCAGAGGTCAGAAGAGGGCTTTAGATACCCCAGAACTGGAGTTAAGGATGGTTGTTAGCCTCCATGTGGGTGCTGGGAATCTAACCCAGGTCCTCTGCAAGAGCAGCCAGTGTTCTTGACTGCTGAACCATCTCTTCAGCCTTGTAGATTTTCTTTTAATCATGGAAATGTGAACAGATTTTTATAAACTCAAATTAGTTTTTACATGCAATTGTTATGGATCACCTGTTAAGTATGCTGTATGTAGTGTTACAGAGAAAGATAGAATTTCATGTTTTTTTCTGTTTTAACATTTATTTGCATGAGGGTAGAACACGTACATTGCGCACACATGGAAGTCAGAAGAAACTTCACAGGAATCACTGCTCTCTTTCTGCCGTGTGGGTTGTGGGGATCAAACTCAGGTCCTCAGGCTTGGTGGCAAGCACCTTTAGTCAGTCACCAAACCATCTCAATGGGCCTGAAAGATACTTTAAAAAGTATTTCTAAATATTTTCAAATAGAATGCATCAGAATGTAATAAAGAGCAAAATATCTTTCTTTGACCTTACTTTGTCCTTCTTATGGTTTGAATTTTCAGTGTGGGTTCTAGAATGTTGCTTCCTTTCAATTGGGATTTGGAACTTGTTTTCAGTTACTAAGATCTGTGAGGTTTTTTCCCTTTGTGACCTATAGTTCCTTGGATTATAATGAGAGGAAAGTTGGAGATGTATGATTTTTATTGGTGTATATCTATTTTTTAATGGAGAGATGGCTCAGTGGTTAAGAGCACTGGCTGCTCTTGCAGAGGACCCGGGTTCAATACCCAGCACCCACATGATGGCTATGAACCGTCCTTAACTCCAGTTCCAGGGAAACCTGAAGCCCTCTTCTGACCTCCACGGCATTGTACGACACAGGTACACTCCCATACATGAAGGCAATACACTCATACACATAAAATAATAAAATATTTAAAAAATAGTATTAAAATGAATTTTTAAATACTAGAAAAAATTTTTGAAAGGTCATCATTCTGATAATTACTGTGTGCTTAGTTTATGTATCAGATACTTAGGATATGAAAGTGATTTATTTACCTTCAGTGGCCAAATAGTTTATTTAGAAAATGTCCATTGTGTCGTATGTGATATGTGTCTTTAATGTTAATTAATTTATGATTGCTAAATAGGCTGCTGTTGACAGTATGATGGGGAAATTTTGTTCATGCACTGACAGCCATCTACAGTTGCTGTAAACGCAGCTGAATGCAGCAGCCCTCCATCTCCATCTCCTCTTTCTTTCTCTTGGCTCTCGGCAGCTCTGTGTCTGCAGACAGCACTTGTTTTGTGCCCCATCTCTGGGCATTTTATCCTTGCCTCTTTAACTTGACAGCCTCAATCGTTTCTTCTTTCCCCTTCCATAAAGTGACCACCGCTTTTGTTAAGATAAAGTGTCATACTCAGTATTTATCAGACTTTTATCATATTTTCTTAATGTGCCAGTATTTTTAATAACTTTTTTAAACTGAGTTTTTGTGAATTCCATACACTATATCGATCATATTTAGACCCCCTTCTCTATTATGCACCCCTCTTCTGGTATTTTTATTAAGACTTCCTTGTTTCTGCTAGTACTCTCCTTGCACAGTTGCATAGGTTTTAAGTGTCTGCCTCAGTCTTTTCTCCCTGAGTCCCATTGTTTTCAGTACATGGTTTTAAAAGATAAGAGAGTTTTGAGGAAGACATAAATATTTATGTCCTAATAGCATATCTAGATATAGCTAAGTCTAGTGACAACAAAGAGATGTTGGAAACACAGAAAAGGAGCAATTTTCTTGGACAGATTTAGAAAGGTATCACTGAAGAGATTTTTATTTTACACTGAAATATGTGGGAACAGCACAGGAGACCTGCTTATAAATTCTAGGACTGTTTGCAGAGAGGAGGTACCTTGGTAAGAAATGAGACCAGAAAGCAGTATTTATGAAGGCCTGACCACATAGGTAATAGAAAAGTTTCAAGCACAGGAGTAATGTGGTAGTAATCAATTGGCATATCTATTCACACTGCTTTCTGATGATTCTAGAGTGGTATGCTCAGGCCATCCCTTCAGCATATGAGGATCTGAGTCCTAGAGTGACTAAATATATTAATTACTTTTCTGTTGCTGTGAAAGAAACACAGACCAAAACAACTTATAGAAGGAAGAATTTGTTTGAACTTACGCTTCTAAGGGACAAGAGCCCATTGTGGCAGGGAGGCATGGTGGCAGAGGTGGCTTGAGGAGGAAGGGCGGAGCTAAGCTCTCACATCTTCAAGCAGGCACAGGAACTGAGAGGACTGGAGATCCAGCAAGGCTTAAGAACTCTCTAAGCCCACCCCCAGTGACATGTTTCCTCTAGCGCAGCCACACCTTCTAAGACCTCCCAAAACAGCGCCACCAACTGGGGACAAAATGTCCAGATCCTTGGAGCCTATGGGAGACATTCCCATTCAAACCATCACACTAAACTTTCTGCTTTCAGCTGGGCTGCCAGCTTTGTGGGTTGCTGTAGATAGATTGTTTCATGGAGTCTGTTCCTGGCTTTCAGTGCCTTCGGGCCCAGAATGGCTCAAAGTTAAGTTAGATGCTCTGCCCTCTGCTTTTTGTAGTCTATATATAGCTATGCCTGTCATTGGGGTAGAGAGGGGTCAGTGCTGAGGGATGCTTTCAGCTTTCTCCGTCAACCCTCATGGGGAGGTCGGTCTTTTCCATGAAGGTCTGAACTGTTTGACAGAGGTGTTTCCACTTCTCTGCCTGGAGACTTCACATGTTCTCCACCATGGCCTCAGGTGGTAGAGAGCCTCAGGCCTGTGACTCTGCCTGTCCCTAATTTTTAATAAGCACTCAGTGGAGGCCCAAGGGAGAAAGTTGGTCAATGCAGACTTTATAGCAAAGGCTCCTTGAGATTCTCAGCTGTCCTGCTGGTTTTCACTTGGCCTTTAAAAATCTATAGAAATGTCAGGAAAATAGTGTGGGATTTTTTTTTTTTTTTTAATTTCTCTAGGAAGGACTCTTCCTTTCTTAGATTTTAGTTCATTTAGATTTCTTTGCATTCTCAACTCTGGATGATTTTAACATTTGTGTTTTAGAGATGACGAGACTTGTTCCCCTTATTAGAGGGATGGTATCCTGTGTGCTTTTGTTTCTGTGGTCTTTCAAAATCTTTTGTCAAGCAGGCCCTTTTGATCTTGTAGTTGCTGGGTGTCAGGTTTTCTTAGTTTACATCCAGTTTTCCTTTATTTCCATGGCTTAGTCTTTGTCCTTTTGGGACATCAGCTGAATGTCTGGCATACTGACCCTGTCCTTTTTCCTTGGTGAGTCTTGATTTATCACTATCTCAGGGGTGCCCAAATTCTTTCTCTGCTCAATAGCTGCTACCTCATCTGTATTTCCTGCCATCTAGCCCAGTGCAAGTACTATGAGCATCCATAGGTATCTCCTGGGGAGGTTGCATACTTTTAGTTTTTCTGTAGGCCTGCCCTCTTCAGGATCGTGAGCTTCTAAGCTTGAATTCTTTGGTGGTCATAAGCTCTTAACACTCCTCACTCGGGAAGACTTTTTCAAACTCCAGACCCCTGCTATACCTTGTCCACACTGTGAAATAAGCGCATACCTAGGAGGGACAAGCAGAGGTAAATGGGTCTTATTTAGTAGATTCCCCTTTTGTGCAAGACCTTGAAGCCCTGGCTCCATTAGTGGTTGTCTGATACCTTTCTTTTCCTTTTCTTTTGTTGTAGTGCTGGGTACTGAACCAAGGTCTCATGCATGTTAAATATGTACTCTACTAGCTGTACCTCCAACCTGATTCTTTCAGGTTCTTAATATGTAATTTAAATTTTTTTCCAGTTTTAAGTTTTCTACTTATTTATTGGTTTGTTTTTGTGCTGGCGATCAAACCCAACCCAGGGACTATGCATGTTAGGCAAGTGCTCTGTCACTAAGCTACATCTCTAGCACCTTCTATTTTTTTTAATGTAGCTTTTATCACAACAGAGCAAAACAGGAAATTTTAAAAATTTATTTATTTTCATTTTATGTGCTTGAGTGTTTTGCCTTTATGTTGTAAGTGTACCACTTTGTGCAATACCCACAGAGGTCAGAAGAGGGCATCAGGAATTGGAGTTACAGTTGTGAGCCACCGTGTGAGTGCTAGGAACTGAACCAGGGTCCTCTGCAGGAGCAGCCAGTGCTCTTAACTGCTGAGCTGTCTCTACAGTCCAAGAGAAAATTTTTAGAAATCCTTTATAGTTGGAAAAGAAAAATTTCTTGGGAATACATCTAACTAAAAATGAGGAAGAGCTTTGTAGGAAGAGGTGGTCTACTTTTTTTTAACAAAAAAAAAAAATTTTTTTTTCATCTTTTTTGAGACAGGGTCTCCCTATAGCCCCAGCTGGCCTGGAACTCACTATGTAGAACAGGCTGGCTTTGACATATACCCACCTGGCTCTGCCTCTCAAGTGCTGTGATTAAAGGCATGTGCCACTACATATGGCAGGAAATTATTTTTTAATGTACTACAAATCATAATATTTTGTAGACTGAATGTGATTCCTATCAGAATTCCAACTGGGATGTAGAAGATGTTGGAATGATTCCAAGATATGTATGTGGAAGAAGAAAGATGTAGAAATAAACTAGACACTTGGGAGACTGAGGTCAAGGGGGATTAGCATACTTATCAAAGTAAATTTAAGGCAGTAACCTTGGTGCACAGTAATAGCCAAAGGAGTCCAGTCAGTGAGGAAGAAACCTGCCTGTTCGTGGAAACTTGATAGTGATAGATGCATGCAGAATAGAGAATAATCAGTGAATTGTGTCATGACATTTAGTTTTTTTATTTTAAAAATATGGGTCTCTATTCCATGTTTATTTTTTAAAGGTCAGTTTTGTATAGATGAAAGTTTAAATACAAAAGGAAAATTTTAGACATTATCAAAGTTTATAACTTGATGGTTGAAAAATCTTTAAAAATAAGAAAAAACATTCAGTATAACAAACTGGTAAATTCGTAGTAGTTAATTTGAATATAATAAGAATTTTAATCATGAGGCAAAGTAGTGGGATAAGAAAAAAATGCAGCTTTTGTTTTCAGCAGAAAATGGGATTTTGTCAAGAAGAATACAATGAGTCAGTATGATGGTGCATGCCTGTGATTCCAGCACTTGGGCAACTGAGGCACAGGGATCAGAAATTCCTAGTTTGAGTGTTGTAGCAAGAAGCCATCAAAAAACTTTAATAACAAGAAAAAGACATAAACAGGCATGTCTAGACAGTGTATGAACATGAGGAAAATCATCAACCTCATAATTCTTAATCAGAGAATGGAAATTGTGGGAATGCCAGGCCTTGGGAGGTTGTAGAGTGTGAGGAGAACTCAGTGTTGCTGGAAGATATCTCCACTGATACTATCACTTTAAATAACAATTTGCATGAATTTATAAAGGTGAACAAGTATATACCTGGGCTTATACCTGGATATATCATCTATGGACCCTGGAGCACATAACTTGAGGGATGTATACCTGATTGCTTATAACAACAAGGTGATAATAAAAAATTGAAAGTTTATTCAGGTCTCAGTTGATAGAATGGACATGGCCAGTATGACTGGCAGATGGCTGATACAAGATTTCTCAAATATAGTGTAACCTACTCTAGGCTCTGTAGGGTATGATGTCCTTCCTATAACATCAAAAACAAGCACAAAAGACAGGTGTCTTTAATCCCAGCATTTGGGAGGCAGAGGCAGGCAGATCTCTGTGACTTCCAGGCCAGCCTGGTCTACATAGCGAGTTCCAAGCCAGCTAGGGCTACAGGGAGACCCTGTCTCAAAAAACAAAGAAACAAAACATAAGCACATGAAAACATTAACTACAGATCATATGTTATACAAATATACTGTTAAAGAAAAGTCTTTCTTTGCTCAACAGAATTTAAGAGACTTCCTAAGACTTTCTGTAGTACTTAAGCTATTGCATCAGATAGGGGGACATGGCAAGCTTCTATGATTTGATAATTTGATAATTTGTACATATTCTTTTTATATTACACTTAGTCATTTTCATGCACTCTTGTGTAGGTATGAAGTAATTGCATTTCACTAAGTAAATCATTGTTAGAGCCATTCACATAGCCCCTTCTTACTGGGAATTTTCTTTTGAATAGCTAAACCATTGACAGTGAGGTGACCTTTGTAATCTGGTGAGATTTCTGATTTTCTTACAAGTCTGTGTCTGTTCTCAGTGATGCTTTCTATAGTAAGTATAGCACAGTGGGAGAGGTAGAGTGGACAGCCTGGCCTAGCACCCTGCTCTCCCTGTGTCTGTGCGACTGTGGACAGGTTTAGCTGCTCTTTGGCTCTCAGATTCTTCATTGGCAAAATGGAGGTTACCATTGTGAAGATTAAGTGAGTTCCTAGATGGTAAAGTCAGTAAACTAGAGCCAAATACATAGTAAATATGCACTAGCTGTTGTGGTATTTCATTTTTATAACTATTAATCATATCTAATAATTTGAGACAATGACAATGCTTTTTGAATGATCTAGAATTGATTAAACTGTGACATCTCTAACAAGGATTCTCTATTCTTCCCTAGAGAATCTTGCCATAGGGACATTGTGAATCTGCAAGTAGAAATGATTAAACAGTTTCATATGCAACTGGTATGTATAGTAAATATTCTTAGAAAGAATGTAGAGTTGTGTAGACCTGGAAAAATCCATTAAAAAACAATGTATTTTTACTTAGTTGTTACATCTAATTGTTCAGTAATTGGGGAGTTTGAAAATTTTAATAAGTAGATTTCAAAATGGTCACCTGGTTTTTAACTTGTGGTAGTTAAGGGTGTTTCCTCACAGATTTGTTCTTTGATAAGTAAGCAAGAAGTTTTCTAAATGTGTGACTCTACATCTTCCAGATATTCAGTTTCTTCAGTGATCTTGTGGTTAAGTGTAAGAAAGACCATTTAGCCTGTTAATTGGACATGAAGTGACAGCTGAAAGTCTGTAAAATGTCAAGTGCCAAGTAATGTGGAAACCCAGTAATTTAAAAAGCATTTGCCCCTTTTCTAGAATGAAATGCACTCTTTGCTGGAAAGATACTCGGTGAATGAAGGCTTGGTGGCTGAAATTGAAAGACTGCGAGAGGAAAACAAAAGACTGCGGGCCCACTTCTGAAGATTCAGAGTGCCTTCATGTTTTATAATTTGGGAAGTTTCTGGCAACAGAGAACGACACAGAATCAGTATTTTCATGTCCTCAAAAAAGGATTTTACACCAACCACTATTTCATCTCTGTCAGATGTATTTATATTTTTATATTAAAACTGTGCAATACACCATCTGCCTAATAAGAAAGTCAGCAGGATCTTTATTTTCTGAAAGCTTTAGCTGTACACTAAGTGCCCTTTTCCTAAGTGAAGAAAAATGTGCCTAAGAATAGCTTATGTTTTTACAATAGCTTTTTAAAACATATTTTTGATGGAAAAATTGTCATCCAAATTTTTTTAAGTAGCTGAAGATTTAAAATTTTGATATGCCTTCTATTTTATGGAGACATTTAAAAATAGCATTTGGTTTTTTTCAAGTCATTGATTAATAAAACAGTTAATTATTTTGTTAGCTAATCATGATGTCAGGTTTGCCTTATTTATTGTTTGTGTGATACTTTTGAAGCTTTGAGTTGTACAGACACCTGGTCCCTTTGCATGTCTGTGCTGTTACACTTTTGGTAGGTCCTTACTTCTGGTTAGCTAACTTCACATATTAAAAACTTTTAAGGGTTTGTAAGATTCAAGGACTATACATCTGCTGATTTGTCTCATGAATTAATGATATGTAAAATGATACTATAAAATTTTAATCATCACAACTCAACTTACAATCAGTGAACATTTAAGATACTAAATATTGCAGTATTGCCATCTTTTTCTTCCAAGTGAAAAGTGTGGATTACTTTTTTCCGTGGCTGTATCATGAACTTTCTCTAATTCTTGTGTGCTGTGAATAGTATGTTACTAGCCTAATCATGAAGTTATTTATACTGTTTCATCATGATAACCTCATTGACAGTAGTTGGACGTGCTCATCTACCTGCTGTGATCCCCACTCTTGGTGTCAGATTCAGAGGGCTACTCGCGTGTTTATGTTCTTGTTGCCTCTTGCCCAAAGATTTAGACTGTGTACTTTGTATATAGGTCTGTTGCCCAATTTTGGCTTCTGGGATGAAAACTATTTACTAAAATGTAGCTTAGTTTGCTAACTTTATGCTTTTCCAAAGTGATGGAAGATGTAAGGGTATATTTAATAACTTAATAACTATAAACATGAATAATTACTTCCAAACGTGAAACAGGAATATTTTCTTTTCCCATTGTGGCTCCGAGATCATGCATTGAAGCATACAAAGATGTTGTGTTTTTCCTCAGCAGATTATGGCAGCATTCTGACTTGTAACAGGTCCTTATGTGTCACTGTCAAGTTTAGGATGCATAAATATTAGTGTGTTCTCTCTACATGTTATATTGAAATTTATTAATATTTTCCTATTGCAGTTTTTCTATAGGTGTATGTATATATTGTGTATTAAAAGGGGTCTGATAAATAATTTTAGTAGTTTTATGTGTATAGATGAAACACTTGTCATGGATTTAAAAGCAAAGTACAATAAATAAAATTTTTGTATTCAAAACATAGGGAATCTGAGGTTGAACTTTGTGTCCCTGGATAAAATGGAATAATCAGGATTGCACTTCCCTTCCCAACTGGAAATTTGAAAACAAAAGACAAAATGTGCAGAATAGCTACTGTGTGTTGGGTGTTAGGCAACACAGAAGAGCCATTCCTGAGAGAGAGAAACGGATAACACTCCAGACACTCAGAGAACTGTGAATTCCTTAAAGCCAGCAATAAGGAGAAATCCTTAGAAGAAGCTAAAGGAAAATGGCCCAGAAGAACAAAGGGTGTCAGAGTAGGGTAACATCTTTAAAGTTCTCCGGGGGAGAGTTCAGCCTCACAGTCTACACCCAGGAAAAATATCTTTCAAAAACAAAAATGAAAAAAGCCCTTTTCAGACTGAGAAAGGCTGGAAGAGTTCACACAGGCGGAGGCAGCTGCAGAAGCTGCTCAGGAATGCCTTCTGTCAGGAAATGATGCCACATGAAAGGTCTTACTATACAAACTTTGAGACCAAAGTTGGTAAATATGTGAGCAAATGGAAAGGGCATTTTCCCCATTTTAAATGCTGTTTCAAAGATAAGCATAAAATGTCGTTGTGCAATTTCCCCCAGTGAAGTTGACGTCTGTGCGGGTGATCAGGGTTGGGAGAATGAGACAGAAGGGTCCTGTTCCGAGTCCATTACACTCACCGAAACAGGAGGAGTACCCAAAAGTGGATTGTGCTAAGTAGAGTACAAAGACATAAACAGCCTCAGAAGGAAAAGCAGTTTATGAATGAACTAACAAATGCAATAAAATATAACTACAAAAAAGCAAAATCCAAAAAGGGTCCAGGAAATGACTAAATAGGTAAAATGCTTGTCACATAGGCATGAGGACCAGAGTTTGAATCCCCAAAATCCATGGAAACCTGTGCACAGTAGTGTTCCTGTTATGAGAGGCAGAGACAGACAGGCCAGCTCGCACGCCACACACAGCGGCAGACAAGAAAGCCTGTCTCAGAAAAGGTGAAAAGGGGGGACTGATACCCAGGGTTGACCTCTGACCTTCACATGTGCGCTGTGGCCCGTGCTTACCCACACTCATAAGCACAAATGCATACACAGGTACACAAATCCAAAGGGAGGCGGTTGAAGACAGCTGAACAAAAAGTGATGGGACAAGTAAAAAATAAACACTGAGATGTAGATTTAAACAGATCCATAATTACATTGAATGTAAATTGTCAAAGTTACTTTTATCATCAGATTGAATGTTTAGAAAATTCAACTATAATGAATACCGTGAAGACAAAAATTGTTCAAATGTAAAAAAGCAATGAGATGGCAGTATATGGAACTAAATGCAAATGAAAATGAGATTCAGAATTGAGAATTCTGACTCTTGGGGAGAAGGCTCAGCAGTTAAGAGAATATACTGCTCTTCCAGAAGACCCAAGTTTGGTTCCCAACACTCACATCCAGTGGCTCACAACTGCCTGTAACTCCAGCTCCAGGGATTTTGATGCAGTCTTTTCACCTCCACAGGCACCTGCACACACACACACAAACACACACACACACACGCACAAATAAAAATAATCTTTTTTTTAATATTGTGGAAATCATTCTATGTAGTATTTTAGAGGAATGCATGCCATCAAATGCATATTTTAGGAAAAAGGAAAATCCCTATAATCAATAAGCTCAGCTTTCTTCTGCAAGTAGAAGAATACGTGGGTCACAAAATAAGAAAGGATGAAAGAATGCAGTGCAAAGCAAGATCAACTGAGAAAATCAGTGACCCCCAAGAGCTAGTTCTTAGAGACCAATAAAACTGATCAGGTGCTAGCCCCACTCAGGAGAACAGAGATGTAAGTGAACACTGTCAGGAAGGAGAAATGCCATTGCTGACTGTCCTACAAGTATTTCTGGCCCCAAATGCCACATATGAAAACTAAGTCTTTCAAATATTTAAAGAGAACATTCCAGATCTAAACAGATGCTTGTGCAAGTGTGAAATAAGGTGACTGCTCAATTTGATGAGCAGCATTCCTCATGGTCAGTAAGGCAGCATCCTGATGGGACTCCCAACAGTCCCACACATCACATTTTAGTAGATCAGAGCCTGCTGTCTGCTTAAAGTGTGAATGTAATACCAAGTGGAGTTTATGTCAAGAATGCAAATATGAGCTAATGAGAAAATGTAAGTGTATTTATCATAGGATATCATTTCTGTAGTTGCAGAAAGAATAGCTAACAAAAGCCAACATTCCTGATGAAAAAGTCAGTAAAGTAGGAATAGATTTGTCAGCAACTTGACAAAGGGCATCCAAGAAAACCCAGTAGCCAGGATCATACTCAGTCCTGAAAAACCAAGCTCTCTTCCCTAAGGTCAGAGACAAAGCAAGAATACCTAGTTTTCCTCTTTATTAAACATTGTTTTTGGGTTTCTAGTCAAGGCTATTTGACAAAAAACAAACAAACAAACAAAGAAAAAACAAAACAGACTACACAGGAGATATAGAAAGTATTTATAAATGATAATTGACTCCAGAATATCCTGTGGAACATATAAATTATCTAAAATAGCAAATTTAAGAATGTTACAGGATGCAAGTCAATATACAAAGATTATATTTTTGTTAGCAACAGTCAATGAGAAAATAAAATAATCACTTAGAGTAACATAAAAATGTGACAGAGTCAACATAAATTCAATAAAAGACTTGAACACTGAAATCTAGTCAGTAAACTTCAACTGTGAGACATGCACGTTAGTGGTGAAAGGCTTCCTACTGTGCGGTTGGTTCAGTTACCTTCACTTTGACATGTAGTCAGCAGAATGGCAGTAAGAATTTTAACAGGTGTTTTAGGATAGTATTTGTTAAGCTGCCCCCTAAATTTTCAAGTACAAAATATGTAGAATAATCAAAACAGCTTTGGAAAAATAACACAGTGGTGTTTGCATTTCATAATTTCTCTGCTTGTTATAAAGCTACAGCTAGCCAAGATAACAAAAAAGTATAAATACAGTCACATCAATGCAGTACAATAGATTCAAGAATTGAGATACCTTCAACCGGAAAACATGATTCAAATGTCATATTTTTATATTTTTTATTAGAATAAGTGGCTATATTTGAAGCAAAAGTTATGATCCCTTTGCAAAAGGCAACTAAATAGAACTAAATGTAAAATTTAAAACCGAAAGAAAATTTAAGAGAGCAGAAGAGAAAATCCTTGTGAACTTTTTGATTTCTTATATGCCAAAGAAAAAAACCCTCTGAAAGTAAAAATTAAACTTGGACCTCTGCAAAAGCTAAGACCTGCTCTTCAAAAACTACCTCTTAAGCCGGGCATCATGGCGCACACCTTTAATCCCAGCACTTGGGAGGCAGAAGCAGGCAGATCTCTATGAGTTCAAGGCCAGCCTGGTCTACATAGTGAGTTCCAGGATGGCTGGGGCTACAGGGAGACCCTGCCTGCCTCAAAAAAAAAAAAAAAAGAAAACCTCTTAAAGACAATCCAAAGACAAAGGATGAGAAAGTGCTTTTTAGTATCTTACATTCAAGACATATGAAGGAATCTCAGTTTAAAAAGCAATATAATTTTTAAATGGGCAAGGGATTTGGATAAGCACTGTACCAAGAAAGAAGACAGGGTGACAGATGTGCCCATGAGAAGGGCCTTGTAATCCCGTCTTCATTACAGAACTGCAGGCTACACCAGGAGACGCCTCTGCAGGTTTAGATACTAAAAGCTAAGAAGGTAGATGAGCTAATTTTTATACTTAAAGACCATGGAATGGTACAATCGTGCTGGGTACAGTTCAACACTTTCTCACACCATCCACAAGTCACGTACTTTAGCCTTTCCACCCCAGATATTTAAAAAATAATAATAATAAAGAAACCTTCGACATGAATAGTCATAACAGCTCCACTGTGATATCCAACATCTGAAAATAATCCAAATACTTGTCAATGAATGAATAAACAAATTACAGTGTATGTAATGGAGTACGACCCAGCTGTATGAAGGTATAACATGTGCAGCAGTATAGATGAGCCACACAATAATTATTAATGGAAGCCAGTATCAGAGGGTGACATTCAATTATGGACAAATTGAAATGCACATTTCCCCTCACAGCAGGCTAGGGATCCCCAGTAGGGGGTAGGGTGAGAGGGTGACTCCAAAGAGTCACAGGAGAACTTTTGCCAATGACTGCATTGTTTTTGTTTTGATGATGAGAGTATTCACACACCAATATTTTCTAAATTATATACTTCTGATGTAGTTTATTTTATGCCAGTTTTACCTCAACCCGTTTTTTATTTGTTTTGGTCTTTTGAGACAAGGTCTTACATTTCTTGGCCTGGCCTCAAACTCCCTATGTAGCTAATCTTGAACTTTGGTGTTCCTGTCTTTACCCTCCCAAATGTTGAGACTGTAGGCATGTATCACCAACCTATATTTAAGGAGATCCCTTCTGACATATGACATTAGTATGCTGAAATGACTTTTCCTACCGCTTGTACCCTTAATATTGTTCAAAATGTGAAATAAATATGAAATGAAAGAAGAATTTGATGTCAACTTAGTACTTGCCTTAGTTTCGTTTTCTGTATAAATACTCCAACCAAAACAACATAAGGGAGAAAGTGTCTATTTGGCTCACAATTCAAGGTTACAACTCATCACTGCAGGGAACTCAAGTGGGCAGGAGCTTGAAACAGTCACCTCCACAGTCAAAAACAGAGAATGCACACAGGTGGGTGCTCAGCATGTTCTCCTTAGTCCAGGGCCCAGTCCACCTTCAGGGTAGACCTTTGCACTTGCACTAATCTAAGTGAAAAAATCTTTCACAGGCATGCCCCTTAGGCCAACATAATCTAGACTGTCCTTTGTTGGTACTTGCTTACCAGCTGATTCCAGACTGTCAAGCTGACAACTCACCGTAGGAGCAGCCCACATGCCAACATGTGGGAGACATAGCAGCACTAAACCTCTAACTATCACATTCTGATTCCA